CGCACAACATTCGTGAGAGGTGAGTCTCCTCACTATACCAATGTGTCTAAGGCACCAAGGCCGACCCTTTTTATGATAGGTGATTGCTAGTTGTATATGTAGTATGCTTGTATGGAAGACCATGAGAGAGCCCATGACACTTAGATGTAACACTGTGTGGAGAGCCCATGGCTTTCCTACTAAAGACCATGGGAAAGCCCATGGCAACCGGATATAAGACCATGTGGAGAGCCTATGGCTTTCCAATTAAAGACCATGGGAGAGCCCATGGCACTTAGGTGTAAGACCGTGTGGGGAGTCCATGTCATCCTGGAGTAAGACCCTGGGGACGAGCCCATGGCATCCCCATTTGTTGTATGCATGGCTTTTGTGATATATGTAGCTTTTATAGCTAATATGATATGTGATATGTGGTTTGTGTGTGGGGTTTGCTCTGGGGAGCTCACTAAGCATTAGCTTACAGTTTGTGGATTTGTTTCAGGTACATCTGAGCTCAAGGGCAAGGGCAATGTTTGATGGTGCGGTGTGCACTCCCTCTCAGTCGTTATCATGGGACACTCTGTTGTTTTAAAATAAAAATTGTTGTTGTTATGAAATTGAAAACAGTTGTATTTGGGATTACATGATTGGTGGAACGTGTTTTGGTTAATTAAAAATGAAAAATTTCTTTTGAAAATTTGGGTCATTACAAGTTTTTTGAAAATTCTAAATTTTAATCTTCAGCTTATCAAAATTCGAAGGTGGGCTAAATTGGTATATGAATTTAGACTTTGAGATCATCCCATGTCATGATTAATGAAGCCCGTAATTATTTGACCCATTTATTTGCCATATCCTTAAATGTAATTAGGAAAACTCGTAAGATGATTGAATCCTTTTTTTACCCACGATATATTAAAGTAATCAACAATCTCTATTACTTCTTCGATATGCTTGTGGGTGTCCTCACGGTCTTTTCCGAAAAAATGTGTCTCTTCGAGTAATTGTAAAAATTGGCCTTTGAGCTCAAAGTCGGTAGCGGTTGGAATTGCTGATCGTGGACTGGTGTCCTCTCTGGCACAGTTTACTTATTCTTCCAATGTTATATTCATGATGTCCATCATGATTACTTCAGTGTCTCTTTCTTATTCTTTACTCGATTTTTCTTTTTTGCTTTTATTCTTTTTGTAAAATTCGTGCACGGGTTCTAGAAAAGGTGATATTATTTCTGATGTAGATTCTAAGGTCATTAACTATTAAAACAAAACAAAAAACAAATGTATAAGAGACCAAAAAGGAAAAATAAAATAAAAGTGGCACTCGTTACCACTGATAAGGAAACCGAAGTCGATATATCTAATGCTTTTACATAAGTTAGGATGAAGGTCTATCCTAAATTCCAAGGAATGTTTATTTGAATAGAAATATTCCATCAAATCAATCCAAAAGGTTTTCATTGCCTTTAAATACAATGTAGAAGACATCAAACAGGTTACATACTATCTTTATCATTAGTGTGTATTTTCGAGATCCGAAATAAGAATATGGTTAACTAGTTTGTTTAAAGTATTACGGATATCAAGATCATATCTATTTTCCAATCGCTGACTTCCTTAATGATCAATTTATTAAACCAATAAGAACATTAAACTAAATATACTACCACTTTTTTATGAAAGAAAAGTAGTTGTTCTATACCATATATCTTTATCCCTACGGGAGTGAGAGTGTACTAAAAAAATACGCTCATGGACTGACGGCGAGATATTTGATAATCCATGCGGGTATATATGTTTACAACGAACAAACAGGAGCTAAAATATTATGCTCACTAGTGTTCATTTCATGGTACCCGCTATAAGACTTAAGGGTTCTACAATTCCCAATATTGATCTGTTAGGATTAAAACCCTAATTGTGATTTGATGAACAAGATGCGGAAAATAAGAACAAACACAAATAAAGAAGATATGTCGAATGATCACTCGATTTATTCAAAACATGAGGAATAAATTACACTTTCAGCATAGACTAAAGAATCTAACACTACATAAGAAACCTCACAACGTGGCGGCTACATTTTGCCTCACTCTTAACCCTAATAATGAATAATACATGACTATTTATAGGGAAAAGACAAGTCTTGGGCTTTTAACCTACACTTCATCAGGGGGCCCATTGCCATCATCCATGGAGTGCTTTGAAACCCTACAATCTCCCCCTCAAAGTATGGAATGGATGACAATGCTTTAACTTCCAAAACAAGCATCTAGCAAATAAAAAGATCTTGCAACGAGGAATAGATGAAGCAATCCACGAATTTTGATTCTTCAATAGGCTTCAAACACGGGCTCTAGGATATATTAATCAAGCACTGAAGTAATGTCTTTAAACTTCATTTTCGAATGTAATCCCAAAAAAAACTTCATGAAAACCAAACCCGCCATAAAAACCCATTTCAGAACATAGAAACCAAATGACTTCTTGTCTTTGAAGAGCTCCCCCTCCAAGTCATAATGATCTTCAAATAAGATAATGATATAAGCCACCAAAAATTATCATGTAACAACCCAAATTTTAAGATTCGTAACGCCACTTGATCGAGAAAATACTAGAAGTCGGAGATATAACAAGTCCTTAGATGAGCTCGATGAAGAACTGCTACTGTAAAGGATACTTCTCTGTAAAAGCTTTAGCAGAGCTCGATGAAGAACTTCTACTGTAAAAGCTACCTTCATAATTCTACCACAAGCTTTATCAAAAATCTTCAACTTTGGAAAGTCACAAATCCAATTTCGAATGGCCATATCAAATTCTCCCCCGATTTATAATAAAAAATGTGATTATAAAGCCTTTAAATGGTCATGAGAATGATCTTGAATGGATAAATAATTATCGTGCTCCCCCGTGACAAAATGATATACACAATGAATTATAAAATCCGAAAAATTCGTGAAAATTTGACATTATCACGAAAAACGTCTTTCCGAACCGCCAAGACTTGATGGAATCTTTATTTTTCTGTTCACGAAAAAAAATATGTGCGTTAAAGAATTCAAAACTGTTCACCAGCCCTTAAAATTGTAAACTTTTTCGAAAAATGGGCTGAAATTGTCACTTTCCAGAAACTCAGGGGCTGAAATTGTAATCATGCACCAATAAAACCCTTTATTTGTAACAAAATCTGGAATTGGTCCAAAACTGCCAAGGCATGAAACGCATAGGGACCAAAGGAGTCAATTCGCCGAAGTTTTTGGGACCATAAATGTAACATGTTTATCTTCTTCCCTAATTCTTTGACTGCATAAACGAACATGACTGGAGTGGAGAAATAATCACAGCGAACATCGTTAACAAAGCGAACGTGCAATCTGAGCTCAAGTGACCGAACCTAAGTTCGTTTCAAGACCGCCAATTATTCACCTGAAGCGAACCCAACCGAAGGTTCGTTTCCTTTCGCTTCCATTTTCGTTTCAAGCTTCATCAGCCGAAACACCCTTTCGCTTTCGGTCATCCCTTCATTCGCTCCAACCATTAACAAGCGAACCCAAGTTCGTTGTTCCAGGTTCGGTCCTAGTTCATCAGCATTACCCTAAGGCGAATCTCCATTCTTTCGTTCCAAGTGCTAACAAACGAACCCAACCATAGATTCACTTCAATTTCATCGATTATACCCTAAAGAGAAGCACAGTAAACGAGCGTTCACAGGTAAGGCTTTCATAGCGATTTTGACTTTTCTGTTGACCAATGTTCGTCCCAATTGAGATTGATTCGTTTGCAGTTAATGTAACACCCATATCACAGTCAATTTCGTTCGTTCGTAATTAAGACTGCGAATCCAACATCATTCGATCAATGTTATTAAGCCTCTATTAAGAGACCTGCTTGGCGAAGCAAACAGGACGTCAAGCCAAATCATGATTCAAGATCTGACAAGGACCACAAATCTCCTTCGTTCCAATTTCTATTCCAACAATCTGATTTTTCAGTTCCGATCAAAAAGAATATATTCACACCTCCGATTTTGACTTTTCTTTCTAGGACCATCAAAAGCGATTGTTGATCAATAACAAACATGTGGACCATGAACAGTGAGTCGGCCAAGAATATGGGCCATATCAAAATTAGAATCAAATAGATCAAATTGGATCAAAACAAATGACTAACATCAATAGATTTTTGGATTAAGCTAACGACCAGATCCAATATGAACAGAAGAATGAATCGAAAAAAAATACCAGATGAATAGTATAAATCTCCATGAACAGTAACTTGAACAAAAATCTTGATTCCATACCGCCAAAACATCAATAATCTTCAATATATGTGCAGAAAATCACCAAAGCAAGAACCGATACTTCAAAAATCAATAGATCTTCAAAGACCCGCTCTGATACCACTTGTTAGGATTAAAACCCTCATTATGATTTGATGAACAAGATGCGGAAAATAAGAACAAACACAAATAAAGAAGATATGTCGAATGATCACTCGATTTATTCAAAACATGAGGAATAAATTACACTTTCAGCATAGACTAAAGAATCTAACATTACATAAGAAACCTCACAACGTGGCGGCTACATTTTGCCTCACTCTTAACCCTAATAATGAATAATACATGACTATTTATAGGGAAAAGACAAGTCTTGGGCTTTTAACCTACACTTCATCAAGGGGCCATTTGTCATCATCCATGGAGTGCTTTGAAACCCTACATGATCCTTAATCTTCCATAATCTATTCTTAACTTCGTTTTAGACTAAATGATATTCTAGAATCTATAGACACATAATATAGAATAAAAAGCAATACCAAAATTTTCACCAACAAACAATAGTCTCACTTTTTATGATGAGGACCAATAGAATTAGATGAAAAAATCTAACTAAATTAAACATTTAAGAAACAAAACAACATACATATAACATCAACATTTCCTCCTATATATTTCATTATTAACTTAATCATCATCAACAACAACAACAACAACAACAACAAAATAGAAATCTTATAAGAAAATGGGTAAACATAGAGGCGCTAATTAGACAATCTTACTGCATAATAGTGATATTTCTTTCATCTTACTGTTAACATACTAAAGCTGATTAATACATTCATTTATTAACTGTATTATCAACCCAACATATAAACTTTGCATCAAATATTTTATATATACGATTTAATATTGACAAGATCAGTAGTGTTTTTTCTTAAAAAACTCTTATACCATCTTGCAGAAAGCTTTGGTTTTCGTGTTTGTGTTTCACGGTCCACATAATATAACCCGAACTTTACATTGTAACCGCTCATCCATTCATAGTTATCCATTACGGACCATACGAAATATCCGCGTACATCTGCTCCTTCTCTATAATTTAAAACACCAAACATGTCATTTATTCAATAATGATGGTACACTTTGAAATTTGAATATAAATGGGCTACTTTCTAAATATACAGATCTAGAGTACGAAAAGATTGTAGAGCGGACCTTATAGATTTCGCTAAAAATTCAAGGTATTCTAAATGGAATTTAACTCGTTTCACGTCATTTAAAATTACATTTACTCGTTTCTCTTGCAGATCGGGTGAAGAATAACCTGCAAAAAAAATTTGCATAGCTAATAGAATATTCATAACTACTTGAGTATATATGTGAAACACGACCCTTACCATTTTCTGTAATAAACATGGGTTTATTTTTGTAGCGAAACTTGATTTTGGTTAACAATCTCCTCCATCCCTTGAGGAAAAACATATGTATCTTCTACCCCAGTCTGTTTGTCAAACAGAGGTAAAGATCTTTAATCTCAAATAAAATTAAACATAAAATAAATAATTAAAAATCACCATTTCATACATACAGGTTCACCGATCAACACACCATCGCGCTCTGCCACAGTGTCAAAGAAACCTTGGATCGGACGATTTGCAATTGGAGAGCAAGTAGAGTTTGTACAATCTTTAGTATATATAGCTGAGTAATGGTTTATACCAATAAAATCCAGACTATTCTTCACAATGTTCTTTTCTTTGATAGAGAAACTTGGTAAATCACTTCCAAGGTACTTAACCATTTCTACGGGATACTCTCCATATATCAAGGGATCAAGTACCCTGTTCAATGGGAAGAAGTTAAACCATATATATATATATATATATATATATATATATATATATATATATATATATATATATATATATATATATATATCCCTATTCTAATAACTGAATAGTTATAATCTCTTTTTGTCAAGTGTCACTCTAATATAACTCCTCATTAATATTGTGTCATGTGTCATGTAGATATATTAGACAATTATTTCAAAATTCAAATTTATATTTTCTAATTATATGTTAAATTTGAATTTATAATAACTTTAAAATTTTGATATATCTATTAATTAATAATTTATTTAAAAAAATTTATTAAAAAAATTATAAATTTTTATTAAGAAAAATTAATTAATTTTATAATCTATGGTTGTCACGGGTTATAAACTAGTATATATATATATATATATATATATATATATATATATATATATATATATATATATATATATATATATCTATATATATATATATGTGTGTGTGTGTGTGTGTATGTGTGTGGTGCGCGCACACGTATTTTTGAGTTATTTTGAGAACTAGTATTTACCGGATTTTTGAGTTATTTTGAGAACTAGTATTTACCGGAGAACTTAAAAAGTAGTTTTCGAAGGAAAATTTACAATCAAAACAACACCACAAGCATCTAAAGCATCTAGACAATTCGTATAGGAAACTAAAATAAAATTCAAAAAACACTGTAAAATATAAATGTATTTAATTATACATATATACATATTCAAATATGCACATATACACATTAGAAAAATATAGATTTGTTTTTTTTTCAAATCTTATGTTGGTAAGCAGCTTGATGAAGACCGTATGGCCTTAGGATGTTATTTGTTTTTTTTCAAATAATCTCTCATATATATATATATATATATATATATATATATATATATATATATATATATAGATATATATATATATATATATATATATATATATATTTTGCATGCCAAATACGTTTAAGAATAGTATGTACCAGCCAATTTGGAAAGCAAACGCTCTTTTAACGGCCCCAATATCAAGCTCACTGTTTGTTAATGGTATGAACGTGGGACAATTTACAACAATCCCGACTAATCCAGCTTGTTTAACCTGCACAAGAATTGCAATATATATATATATATATATATATATATATATATATATATATATATATATATATATATATATATATATATATATATATATATATAGATCCGTTTGAGACATAAACAAAAATAAAAGTAGTTTAGGAGCTGATTAAATTGTCATTTTTTAATGCAAATTATAAACTACAAGGATTAAAACAACAATTATTAAAATCAAATATTACATGCATGAAAACTATAATTAGACTATTTATTGATAATTAAAAGGATAATAAAATAAATGGTAGAATTTCGTATGTCTTCATTTTATGTTAAAATATTATATTTGTTCAATCTAACATTTAAATATTGCATTTACCATTTTTAATCTTTTAAAATATTAGGTTTACCCAAATGTGTTGTCCTAACAGTTTTTAATAATTTATAATCCTTTTTACATTTTTAAGTCGTTAAAACTGAAAAGAAAATACTAAATGGACGCTATTGCCATTGCCTTCTAAACCGCAGGATATATTCACGATCAAAAGATTTTTACTTCTCGCCGGTGTTAACCTGCCGCTATCCTTCTTCTTGCAATCGAATTTAAGCAACATGTATTTATAAGTTGTCGGTCTTTCTACTTGCTATCTTTTCATCTTTGTTTATGATGTGGATGAATTTCACCACGTGAATGTGATGAAAGTTATGTTTGCACTTGATCTTACACTTTTCCATGTGCGTTTGATTTGATATTTAACGATATCTTTTACATAGATGCCATTCATTTTGGCAACGTAAGCAACATATGCATCTGGAATCTTAAATTATTGAAGCCCCTCTATTAATGTATCTTGAATGCTAGAATCTTAGTCTCTTAGAATATTGATCTTAAACCACTAGAATCTTGAATCCTAAAACCTAATTCCTTTCATGAGTTCATTAACTGATTCCATCATTTCTATGAATAATTTGTATTTGCCATTGGAATCAAGATTCGGTTGTTTGTTCTCATGGTATTGGCGAATAGGTTCGAATTCAAAATGATTATCATCAATCTCTTCTGGAATCAAACTTTCCGACCCTTTTTTCTTGAGAAATCCAATATCTTGAGGGATAATTGAAAAAAAAAATCATTGCTGAAATCATATGATTCCAAATGGGAATCAAGAAAGTCAGATTTAATGTTCTTGAAAAAATAGAACTCCATAATAGAAACTATTCTTTCTCGTAAAAAAAATCCTCCAATCAATTAACTTTTTCTAGCTCCAAAACTCCATTTTCACCTGGAATTGTCCCGACTTTTCTCCGCTTGTTCTTTAACTTCATTAAAATGTGAGAATTAATCTGTAACAGATTCCTTAGGGTTTTCTTTAGAACTGATGGAATCTGGATTGGGAGATGGCAAGAGGGCAATAAAGAGCATGACACCATGTTAACACCGGTTATTGAGAACGGCAAGAGGTAAATTATTTTGATCGCATGCCATTTATAAGGTAAGGGCAAATTGATTCATGTAGTTTTTCTTTTCAATTTTAATGATTTAACAATTATAAAAAAAAGGATTATAAACTATTAAAGGGCAAATATGATATTTTAAAAGATTAAAAAGAACAAATACGATCATTAAATGTTAGACCGGACAAATATGACATTTTGATACTTAGTAAGGCATATATAAAATTCTCTGTAAAATAAACAAAAAAAAAATTCAATAAAAGTGGTGATAGCTAAATATCGGTGAAACTAAACATTTTCCACTGTATTTGACTCATTTCATTTGTATATTAGTAATTCGAATATTTCATTAAAGTCATCTTGTATTTTCTAAATTATCGAAAGATGTTTAATATATAATATCAATCAACTTTGATTATTTAAAAAGTATGTATTATCGGGATGTGAAATGTGTAAATTGTTAGCAAATTTGATTTTGTTTTTCTACAATTTAATGACGAATTATCGAATTTTGAATTTACTTTGATAATATTTTCTAATGGTATAAATTGTTAACAACTATATACAAATTGGTGTTATGTTTCTAAATTTATATATAAAAGTTATAAAGATATAGACTAAAAATTATAAATAGAAAAGATATACTAGGGCTGACAATTCTCGACACGACACACGACACGACCCGCGACACGACACGAAATAAATGGGTTTGGGTTGAGTTTTTCAACCCGCCAACCCGCTAACCCGCCAACCCGCCAACCCGTTTATTAAACGGGTCATATATGGGTTTCGCAAAAAATAAACGGGTTGACCCGCCAACCCGTTTATATTCTTAATAAAAAAAATTATTTTATTTTTAAATGTATTTATGTATCAAGTATTAATATTTAATAAGTATTATAAAAATATATACCATTTATTCATAGACCATTTGATTTTTTTGACATTATTATTCGTGGTGGATGGTCTAAGGTCATAAGTCGTAACCTATAAGACTAAGTCTGTAACATGTTTCTATGAATGTTTTTAATTTTCATGTGGATGTTTAAGACTTAAATATCTAAAATTCGGACCCACGAACCCAAATCTGACCCAGGAACCCGCCAACTTGTGAACCCGTATAAATAAATGGGTTGGTGGGTCATATATGGGTTTATGTTCCAAACCCGCCGACCCGTGACCTGTATATTTAAATGGGTCGTGTTTGGGTTGACATATTTTGACCCGCCAACCCGCGACACGCCAACCCGAACACGATACGATTGCTAGGCCTAAGATGTACTTATCCCTTAAAATACATTGAACAAGTTAAAGTAGTTGTCCGGAATTCCCGCAAGTGTTACCACACCCTCCAAATTGACTTCATGAATGACGAGGAATCCATTCTCGGGAACAAGTTAAAGGGCTATTGTTGGAAATATAAATGGACAATTATATCTTAAGTATTCTTAAGTTTTGGTGACCTGACCCTCATTTGTAAAGAAATAAATGCAAACTCATATTTACAAAGTGAATGGACCCCGATATTTGTAAAAAAAAAAATCATGATAAATAATTACCTTGTACTTTTGACGATATAGCTTTGCTGCTTTGCCATGGGCCAATACCAGGTTATGCATAACAATGAGAGGCTCAACGTCAGAATTTCCGGTACGACAGTTGCCAAAAAACTCTGAGCAACGAGAGGGTGGATAAATCCCCCACCTATAAGCTAAATCTGTGAACAGGTTTGGTTCGTTTATTGTAGTCCAATACTTTACTCGGTCTCCAAAATACTTGAAACAAATATCTGCCAGATGTACAAAGTCTTCCCTGCCACCATATTACGATAGATAGAGAACAAAAAAAAAAGTAGAAACACAATCGATACAAAGATGAAAATGACAATTTTTAGACTTACTGCATTTCAGGATTTAGCCAAGATCCATATCTATCTTCAAGTTCTTGCGGAAAATCATAATGATGAATCGTCACAAACGGCTCAATTCCTACAGTATTGTAGTCAAGTCTCATTCACAAAATATATACAAATTTTTGCGTAAAACTAAAAGCACATCGGAACTCATACATGTATCTACAATTTGAGACCAAATCAAATTAATTATTTGTTAGTGTATCTAAGTGTATCTAACATTGGCACGGCACGATCCTATTTATTTAGTCTTTCCTTTCTCATAAGGGCTTATTTGGAGAGAATCTTGGACTCTACATATATCATCCTTGGTATTGGCATGACATGGTCATATATGTCTCTATATATGTGAAGTCTCCCATCTCTCCATAAAGCTTTTTTAGAGAGATAATCTTGGATTTCACATGCATATTATATTATTTCACTTTTAACTAATAGCACCTTTGAGAATTAGATTGTCTATGATCTTGTCATAGAACATGATCCCTGCAATATTAACTTCACCAAATCTTCCTCTTGGAAGAATTCTAGCCCATGAAATCGAAAATCGGTATGCTTTTAGGCCAAGGGAATGCATTATCTCAATATCTTTCTGTTTTAAGGAAACATTAATAAAGAATCATATTCGAAATAAACAAATTGTTTTGATACCAAAAGTCAGTAGACATATTAAAAAGAGTAGTTATACCAAAAATAGATGATAATGACAATCTGCACTATCTCCATTCTCTCCGTTTTCTCCACAACCTGATAAAAATGGCAATGGATTCATCATTAGATGTTTAAAAATAATTCATCATATAAACTATAGCAATCGATTAATCGATGATATTAACCTATAGAATGACAAAATACATCCCAGTTGCTTAAGGATTTCATATCCTCAAGATAAGCTCCTTCAACCTGCATGCATGCATACGTTGAGTTATAAAGAGCTATGATCATGAGAAAAAAGAGCTATGATCATGAGAAAAAGGAAGAGAATGAGGAAATTATTGACTTGGTAGGCGGAACTGCCTGCACCGAATATAAACCCCGGTGGGAAATCTGATCTTTTGACATGGTGAACTTTTTCTTCCAATCGAAATCCTATATCTACATTGTTGGAGGCTTCAAGAACGAGATTGCATACAGAGATGAGATACCCAGAAGAGAAAAATGGTGGGTGATTTTGGTTTTAACTTCATCTTGCAATTAAGGGGGTGGGGAATCAAGTATCTTACATTTTTATTTATAACCACTTATATATTCATTTAAGAATACTTAAAATATTAAAAACGTGACAATAAACTTGATTTAAGTACTAAAAACGTTTCTACGTATATGAACTAAAGGACAAGTTAGTAAATGTATTTTAATTAAATTATAACAAATTAAACATTTGATGAACACGTTTTTTCATAATTTTTTATACTAAAATTTATGAACACATTGATTCTATTTTTTTCATCATTCAAAAATTAAAACATCATTATTTGCATGATTTTTCCACCTAAATTTAGGACTTCAAACACATGTTTCTTTCTTTTCATATTTTTATAATTTGAATATTAGAAACGTTGAAAAAATTATAATTTCATTGAAAAATTACTTCAAGAAAATCATTAGTATTCGTTTTTAGGTAGAATATAAAAAGGCATGATGTAAGAAAGCTTTTGATTCTTCCTTTAACAATTAACGATCATTGGATTTGTTCAAACACAAGAATATTTAGGGTCCTACTATTTTGACCGAAGATTACCAAACTTGACCCTCTTCATTATGACATTTTAGGGTATAACAACAGTTTTTTCAGATTTTTTTAGCACATGGGTAACTATTTTAACACATCAGACTAAAAAGAGTAATTTTTCATGGGTGGGGGATGGTGGTGCTAAGGCGGTTGATGATGGTTCTTTGCTGACGGACAACAGTCTGTCTGTGGTGTTCGGAGTCTCCGACACCAAATTTTTGTGAGAGGATATGAGAAAAGTGTGAGACTTGAAAGTGGTTGTAATGAAAATTAGGTTTATTTATTTATTTTTTTAAAAGATTTTGTTTCTTTTTATAGGTGGATAAGAGTGGAGGGTATGGTATCATTGTTACCACATTTTACCTCATTTTGTCACACTCTAATAACACAAACTAGGAATAGTATACAATGAAAGAGGAAATAGAAAGACAATACACATACAGATAGGGAGGAAGAGTGAGCGAGAGAGGAGCATGGCAAGAAAGTGCCGCACAATCCAAACCACACACTAGGGGAGGTGTTCACTACGGTAAAACATGTAATATAGGTTTCATCTCATTATTACCATACTCTACTTCCATCAGCCTAATAGGTAATGGCATTTGGGCTTTTTACATTAAATTTTGGGCCTTTTATTTTAACGAAAAATGGGTTTTTTTTATAGTGAAAAATTGTATTTGTAACATTTTTTTTTGCAAAATAAATGTGTATAATCGCATTTAAATAACATAATTTAACACGTGTTTGTTATTTACTTTCGTTTTAAGTAAATAAATAAATTTGTATTTTTAATATTTTTCTAATAAATTTGTCAAATTTATTTAAATTAGTTTTTTCTTTTAATATTTTTTAGTAAATTTATTTAATATATTTTATTTTATAAGTTTAAAAAGTATACAAAATTTTATTAATCAATTTTTTTATTATAAAACTTTTTATATTAAATTGGTTATATGATTTGTTAAAAAATATTTATTATTATTAAATAACTCTAGTCTAATTAATAATTATAAGTAAAAGAATACAATCATTTTAATAGGGGTTGGCTAAAAAGACATCACTTTTTTTCATATAGACACCCTATTTGGTTTTTAAGATATTTTTATTGGTTGAATTTGCATTGTTTTCCGAAAAAATAAGTTATAAATAATTACTTATAGGTTGACTTTTAATAAAAGTGTTTATAGGGTGTCTAAAGGGTGTCAATTTAGTAAATGATCAAGATAATTTCACAGAAGACGAAAGAAATTAGAGTTATGGTTCTTGAGAGAATTCTACGGAATTGGAAAAAGTGAAATAGAACCGTTGTTTCCCTTTTTTATGGCATCAAATTTGAATTTGAACCGATAGCCAATAAAACATCGACATGTGGAAAGTGGGTAATTGAAGAGACATCATCATTATCTGCCACGTGTAAAAGTAATAAGTGTTTTCCCTCTAAAGAAGAGAAGCAACAGTAGGCTGACATTATCTATACATCGGTCACATCTCTTTGTAACAAACATCGAACATCAATTGTTTTATCACCGGACAATAGTCAGACTTCCATGTGGAGAACAGAGAAGGCAGGTCTCATCCACTTACAGGAATAATAAATGGAATCATAAACCAGAATTTGTAGAATCTTGGATCAAGATGGTATTAGTTGAAACCTCGAGGATTCTAGTGTAATAGTGTGCAAAAGGAAAAAAGAGAGAATCAAAATTAATTTTTGTTTTGGAAAGTTGTGATATCAAATAAAATTTGAAAAAAAAGCAATATGATCTTGGGAAAAGATTCTCTTCCTTCAACATCAAGAGAGATATTGAAGTGCTTGCAAGGTTTCCCGTAAATTACAATTGAATACTTGTAAAGAAGTATCAAATGACCTCTTTTCTTAGGTATCGAAGGTAGGATTTGTCTTCAAACATATATGCAACTTAACATAAGAGCAGTGATATGTATGAAACTCCTTGAGTGATCAATATAATCAGCTGCAAGTAATCATTGGATAGACTTAAGTAACTAAGGATTGAAAATGTTTAAACTGAAATCCCATATCATGAAAGAAAAAAATATGGATCTCTTGGGAAGAAACGACATGGAAATGGTCAATTTCATTAAGATCTCGCAAAATGAATAAAAATATGAGATTTTGAACATTATGGAGAGGCATAACAAAACATAAGGAATTTCTTCCCTCAATTCCATGTCTAAACTCTAGAACAATAAATTGTTCACCATCAATTCATTAATGGTATTGTTTGTTGGGTTTCACTGAAATTATGTTGATAATGACTTCAAGATCATTAACATATAGTTTTCGCAATACCGCGATTCTAGTTGGTTTCAACTAGAGTTCAAATGGGTATTGTGTCTATATGTGTGAACTATGTAATAAAATGGGATAAGAAGATGGCAAACGAGTTTCTCACAAATCTATGGTGACAAAAGATTTAATCATAAAAATAATTTTCGAATAACCATAATTCTAAGTTGATATAAACTTAGAATGTCAAGGGTTAAACAAAAACTTTTAGCAATATACCCGTCAATTCCTCCGTTCCACACTAGAATATAAACTATTCCCAAAAAAATATTTTTGAGTTTTGAAAAGAATACAAAAATAAAAATAGTCTTTTGTGAAATTTTTGATTTTTAAATAAAAATACAAAAATAAGAAAATCTTTTTGAAATTTCTGATTTTTTAAAGAAAAATACAAAAAAAGAATTTTCTTTTGGAATTTTTGAATTTTTAAAGAAAAATACAAAAATAAAAAAAATCTTTTTGGAATTTTTTATTTTTTAAAGAAAAATACAAAAATAAGAAAATCTTTTTGGAATTTTTGATTTTAAAAAAAAAATACAAATATAAGCAAATCTTTTGAAAATTTTGATATTTAAAGAAAAATACAAAAATAAGAAACATATCAAGAGTATTAAATCTCTGACTATGAACAGTAACATTAGAACGATTCAACGCTAATATAAAACTTACAGTGTATCAAAGTCTCAACCAATGAATAGTGACCTCAATATCAAAGAACATAAAACTTAGCTTGATGTTGGAACATAACAAGTCAGAATAATTCCCAAACCATTCAAAATCCTTAGAAAAGACTTATCCTCAAGAGCTTTCGTTAAAATATTTGCAAGTTCATCTGTTGTTTGGACAAAATGCACTTCAATATTACCATCTTCGACATGATCTTTGATAAAATGATATCGAAGAGCAATATGTTTTGTCTTGGAATGTTGAAATGGATTATGACAAATGTGAATTACACTTTGAGAACCACAAAACAATGGTATTTCTTCATGTTGATCACATAACCACGAAGTTGACTTTCAATCCATATCACTTGAGAAATACATGCAGCATCAGCAACAAACTCTGCCTTTATTATTGATATCGAAACACTCGTTTGCTTCTTCGAATGCCAACTTACCAACTTCCTATCAAGAAATTGACAACCACCAGTTGTACTCTTGTGATCAAGTTGATAACTACTCAAATCAACATTTGAATGACTTAATGAAAAATACAGTGTTCACAAGATACTAATGACCAAGTGTCGGTGTTTGATGAAGGTATTGACATATATTCTTCATAGTAGTGAGATGTGGTTCTCTTGGATTATCCTGATACCTAGCACAATTACACATTAAAAACATAATACCAGGTCGACTCGCAGTTAGATATAATAATGAGCCAATCATGCTTCGATAATTTTTTAAATCAACAGATGGCTTATCCAAAGAAGGACTTAATCTTGTGCTAAACGTCATTGGAACCTTCACATCTGAGCACTTGTCCATCTCAAACCTTTATAGTAAATTCTTCGTGTGTGATTCCTGATTAATGAAGATTCCTTCTTTGATTTGTTGAATATTCAACCACAAAAACTAGTTGATCTTTCCCATCATGCTCATCTCAAATTGACTATGTATTGAATCTGTAAATTCCTTTGATAAAGCAGGCTCAGTAGAACCAAAAATAATAGCGTCGACATAAATTTGCACAAGCATTAAATGACCCCCACTTTCTTTCGAAATAAAGAAGGATCAACTGATCCTTATTTAAATTTAGAGATTTTCAAAAAATTGGTTAAAGTTGCATACCATGCCCTTGATGCTTATTTTAGTCCATAAATTGCTTTATCAAGAATATAAGAATGATTAGGAAACTTATCATTTACAAATCCAGGCGGTTGTTCCACATACACACATTCTTCGAGTACACCATTTAGAAAAATCACACTTTACATCTAGTTGGTAACCATCAAAGTTCTTATGAGGTGAATAAGCAAGAAAACGTCTAACAGCTTCGAGTCTCGTGACATGAGCGAAAGTTTCATCATAATCAATACCTTTTTGTTGACTATATCTTTTAACAACGTGTATTGATTTATGACGAACAACATTTCTTCTTTATCAACTTTATTGTTTAAAACCCATTTAAGTCCAATAATAGAAACATTTTTAGGTTTAGGAATTAACTGTCACACTTTGTTTCTATTGAATCAGCCAGTTCAACTGGCATAAAAACAAGCTGATCAGAATGTTTAATGCAAACTTAATAGTCTTTGATTCGATCTTTGAAATGAAAACATGAAACATAAAAGATTATTGATTTACGTTAAGAACTTAATTTCTTGCTCTTATTTGTTCTCTTGTAATGACACCTGAATTAGGTTTACCAAGAATTTGTTCTTTATGATGATCTCGAGTCCACTTCTCCCATTGGAGGAAATAAAGGATCAAAATCGAGATCTTCATCCTCAAAGATTTCTTCTGCATAAAAAAATTATTCTATAATAGAAAGAGTATCATTAACATCATCAGTGAAAGTTGTATCGCCTAAAGCATCATCGTCATCTTTGACATGTGTTCAACATTGCTCCCCCTGAACATGTGCATTCGATATATGTTGCTCCCCCTCAACATAATCATTCGACATGCATTGCTACCCCTCAACATGAGAAGGTATTGGTAGTTTCTCCCCCATCGACTTGATTTGTGGGTATCGAAGTTACACATTCATCATTTATAACATATGTGATTGTAGAATCCTATATATGTTTAGATGCTTTTGAAATTTGATTATCTTCTATGTTTACTTCCATATTTATTGACCTATCAGGAGTACCAAAAATCAAATCAAAATCTATCTCAAAAGAAAGCATTTGATCAGAATCCTCTTAAGAACTAGAAAATATTGAATTATGTGGAAAAACAGTATCGACTCTTTTAACAAAGTAATCATCAAAGGTAAAATTAAACGTTTCTTCAATTCTCCTTGTCCTTTTGTTCATCACCCTATATGTGACTGAATTTTGTAAATATCCAAGAAAATATTCCATCATGAACTTTAGCTTGATATTTTGAAAGATGATCTTTCAAATTCATGATGAAACACCCACAACCAAAAACATGGAAAATAATTTACATTAGGTTTCCTTCTGTTAATGATTTCATACAAGGTGATATTGAATC